CGGATCCTTTTCTTGGTGATCCCATAATCGTGGCCATTTATTGTACACCGTGCAATTAGTTTTCGTTAGGTACTATTTATATTTAATTTTAAATTTGAAATTTTGAAATATTTTCCGATCGCACAATTTATCATGAACAGTCACGCTCACGGGATCTCCAAAAAAAAAATTCCGACGATGATCATTTTCCCTACTAATGGTTACCTTAGGAAATTAATACATTATAAGACAAATATAATAATAAAATATAATCTAGTAAAAAAAAAACTATATAATACACATTGGTGATTTCTCAAAAATACTCCACCCTTATAAATGGCAAATAGTTTTAATTACTATGTATAATATATATTTAAAATAAGGGTCTTTACTATATGCCAATCTCAACTATTGAAAGATTGCTTGTTGTGCGCTCGCCCACGTAGATGATTTGGACCCCAAATTTGAGTTTTTTTTTTTTTTTTCCCACCCACTGTTGAAGACAGCCTTATACTCAAATAATTCTAGAATGGCAATAAAAGTTGTTATAAACTAAACCAAAAACCAATCAAGCAACAAACAAAACACAACGATTTCAGAGTTCCTCCAATATAGGAGTACCTCTCTAACAACGGAAGCTTTATTAATTACCAACAAATACAAGAGAACTCACAAACACAAAGTGTTCTCAAGTTGTTTGGACCTAAAATTACACAATCGGCCCGAGTGATCGAGGCTGTTGAATGAGCGAATTCTAAACTATTGGATTTGCTAAGATAATTTTTTTAATTATTATTTAAAGGATAACATTATGATTTTTAATCATATATTTATCTCTTAAAAGATATATTAAAATTATCTATACAGTTATCTAGAGCACAGTGTGTAGGCATGCAAAATAGGATACTAGAGAATATGTTTCTCTTTTGTGGTATTGCTTTGGCCACGTGAGTCATGCATCATTAGGACTCCTGATACAAAGTGGTACTTGGTGGAAGATGGTATCTTAAGTGATTAGCTGATATTGCAATTAAATTGTAATTTACTTTGCATGTATGGTTGCACCTGGACAGACACCATGGAAAAATAAGGCTTTATAGTCACATTGGGACTCTTAATGGGATAAAGCAAGGTTACTGATGGAGTTCGGATGATGATGTGATTAGCCTTGATAGGCTTTTGTTTTGTTTGAGAAGGCACAGATATCGGTTTGAAAGATAGCCTTCTGACACGGATCAATTTTCTTTCTGCAAGTTTGAGTTGCAGTTGGACTTTACAAAATTATCAGCCCGTGTCAAGCAGAAAATATGAATACTATAAATACAAGTGCTCTGCAACAGAGGGAGATCCTTTCCAATTCAACACACAAACTGCCCTGCGCAAACTCCTACTCTACGCGAAACCTTTCAACAACCTTGAGATTTTTATTTTCTTTTTCCGCCAACATATCTTCAGTTTGGATAAACAACACTGTTGTTGTAGAATCAGCTGACCGTAGAGCACCTTCAGTTTGGATAAACAGCACTGCGTTGAGGCCAACTGGTTATCTATCCAAGTCTCAGGTCGAGAAGGATTTTCGAATCCTTATTGGCAGAGGTCATCTCATTAACCCTTCTTAGCGAAGTGAGGTGTTACAGGTTACTACATTTGGCACATTGAAAGCCGAATTTTATATTGAACTTCGCAAAACTAGCAGCCTTGTCTTCAGGCTCTAGAACCCGAAGGTCAAGGCGTGTTCCTTTCTTGGCCGCAGTCACAAGATTAAGAAGTTAGCAGCGTGCTCAACGCAACATTAACACATTTTACTCCCCGGCTGAGCTCAACCGACGAGTTGGCATGCCCCACACACAACCGAATGACATAGTTAGCTCATTAATTACTCAGCATGCGTGCCACGTAGGCTTGGTAGTTTTTAGGGTCAACATAAGTATACAAACTTATGCCTCTCAAAAACACTCACACACAAAACTCTATCCCACATCCATCTATTTATACTAATAGATGTCCTAGGTTTACACAAAGTTCCTAGAATATAAGAAACCAAACCTATACTTAAACCAAATCCCAAATCAACTAGGAAACACAAATCCAAATATCTTGCGTCCTAGATATCCTAATCCTTTTTAGTTTAGGCATGTTGATTTAATGCCAAATCCAACAAAAGTAACTGTATAGAATATGTTTCTTAACAATGTGTATTCAAATTGTTCAAAAAATAAAAACAAAAACAATGTGTATTGAAAATAGTGAAGACTAACTTGGGTATCAAGTATAAAAGACCACCATGCATGCAGTCGTTAGAGCATCTCCAATGAAGTCCTTATATAGGGACAACCACCATATAAAGTGAATATAAATCAAATATAGGAACAAAATGAATATCTAATTGGTCAGAAAGTAAATCCTTAAAGTATAGGAACTCACTGAATACTTATTGTATATGAACCCACATATAAGGACTGTATAGGTATTGAAATGGTAGACCTCTTGGACAATTAAAGTGGTAAAGATGGCCCACCAAATTAAATGCTGCTGTGCAGCATGAACTCCAAACGGAATTTTGCAAGAAGAAAGGGAAATTTTGGACCTTTTGGGTGGAATATCATTTTTACTCAAAAACCTATTTAGGTTAAAAGTATATAATCTATGGTTTAGAAAATATTTTAAATGTCTACAGTAGAAAATTAAATAACTATTAATCTAAGCTGAAACATAAAATTATTTATTTACTTAAATTAAATTATTTAAACTAAGTATTAAGTTAATGTTTTGTTCATTAGGTACAAAATTAATGTATTTCTTTAATTAATAGTAAGCTAATGTCATATTTCCATGTCTCCAATTATTCCTTATATTTTCACCATTGCCCTGGTTTAATTAAAAGAAAAAAGAAAAAAGAACGAACCACATATTACAATATATGAACTCTAGTTTTTTTTTTTTTTTTTTTTAATTTATTATTATGTGCCCAACTGCGTACCTAATCAATTTGCAAGGGCATAATCTAATAATGAAGCAATTTGAGGGCATAATTTAATAAAGCTAGGTCGGTATCCTATATATCAAAGCATCTCTATCGATATAGAGTTCAGTTTCATACCTTGGGTTGGATAACGAAACAAGAATTCCTAGGAGATGAACTAATTAAGGCCTCCTCTAATTCCTCATGTCGATTAATTATCTTCGATCATAAAAGTTAAATAAGACTTGTAACTTAGCCAATGTTTTGGTGAGTAAAATTGTAACACTTTTTTTTTATTCCTTTCTTCTTGGGCCGGTCAAACTGCCGACCCCGTGGAACTCATGTGAAACACAAAGCCACCAGGCCATAAAGAGACTAAAATTGTGACACAAACTGGATTGACTACAAACCCAAAATAAAGGAAATATGATGGGTTATGTAATCCAACCACACACTTGGGTTATGTAACACATCTCTATCAATTCAATCATATTTCTAAGGCTCAATCTCATCTAATTCACTAAACGAACCCTTAGAGGTATCACAACGTCTCAGTGACAGTTATACGTTATGACGCCCTTATTTGGAAAGAAATCGCTCCTACATGAGTGCCACGATTAGTAAAACATGTAATGTATGAGAGGAATTATCCTTTTTTTGTTTTTCATTTTCAAAAATAGTATTAAATTGAACAAAATCAAAATAAAATCAAGAATCGCAGTTGAATGAAACTTTGTAGCAGCCTAGAAGGTAAAAATAGTATGCAAAAATCACTCCCCTTCATTTTTCTCTGTGAACTCAAGATTAAAATTATCAACATGATCTGGTCATCATCCATCATAGAGTATAGAAAACTACATGCACAAGTTCACATATGACATCATGGACACAATATGCTACGTTAGTTATTCTCACGCATGAAAGTCCTTTTCCTAATAGATAAATGCTATGTTCAGTCACTAAGTGCTTCAGTGACTCTAATGGTTCGTTTAGAAGCGTTTTTAAAGTAACTGAAATTGCTTTTAGAGAAAATAGTTTTGGTTTTAAAAAATACTTGAAGTACTTCTTGTAAGAAGCACCAGTTATGTGCTTGTTACAGAAAACACTTTAAGTGTTTTTCTAGAATTCACTTGCACTTTTACTAAAGATTGATTCAAATAGCATTTTCCTCGAAAACACTTTTAATCTTTTTCTCCAAAAACGCTTTCAACATTTTCAAAAGTACATTCAAACAAGTTCTAAATTGTTGATGTAAACATCATTTACAATCACTCATCGATCATGATTATATAGTGAACATGGATTTGTAGATCAACGGTTCATAATCATTCATCAATTAGAAGATATCAAAACAAACAAAATATTAGAGATGGGCCACCAGACATATGAGCCGTCCATAGTAGGACGGAAGGGCCCCATACAAATGTGGTTGATGAAAGGAGGTGAAGGGGAGTGGACCCCAATCTGTGTGCCCTCCCCATCTCGATCGGGGCAACCAACCCAACTTGGAAGAGTGCAAATGTGGGCCCAGTAAACATATAATCTCCAAGTGTAACGAATGGACCCCGCCAACCCCACCCCCACCACCTCCCTCGGTGCACGCGACCTCCTCGCCCAACCATTGATGTTTGACAACTTCAACGATGGCCCACCATCCACGGGGATCACATCTCTCTCGTTGATGCTCCTTCATTATCAACGCCCTCACAAGGAGCGTGTTTCACACATCCCAACAGCGATAACAATGGAACGTAACCATTGTTGAAAATATCAGTAGTGTTAAAAATATCGATATGTAAATTTGTAAAAATATCTACATATATATCGAATATTATTATCGATATCGATTTTTTCAATGAAAATAATAGCAAACTAAAATGAAATTTTAGCACATGTGCGTACGGTCGTCCCGCAAAAAAATGGTTGTCCAAAAGGCAAAAACACAGATAGTTAGTCCCACCTCCGCCTCTGCAACTCATTAACTCCAACCCATCGCGGCATTCATTTGCGTCGACAATTATTTTTGCATGCATTTTTTAAAATTTGTTTGAGAAAATAATATCGCTAAATCGAAATTAAACCACAAAATAAAAACACAAATCATTCACATCTGAATTTTCGGAACAAAAACTAACTAAATCACTCAATCGGACGTGAACCGGTTTAGGTTCAATTTCACTGGGTCTGTTGTTGATGTGCCGGTCCAACGGGTTGATCCATGAACTTCAACTCCTGCTTATCGTAAATTTCCAGAGAAAAATCCCTCAGCATCTGAGTCTTGGTCGTCGCGCCGCTTCCGCTGCCGTTACTGTTGTTGCTCGAGGAGCTCACGCTCGGCGGCGCCATTGTCGTTGACGACCTCTTCGCTGCCCTCGCTCCCACCGTGCTCGTACTCGCCGCCGAGTTCGACAGCGCTGGAGACGGAGCCCGAACCTCCACTCCTCCTGCTCCTCCTCCGCTGTTCACTACGAAACTCGATATGGGCCGGGCTGCTCCCACCATGTTAAAAACCGGCGTCATCGTCGGAGATAGGGCCCATATCTGCGGTTGTGGACCAGAAGGTGCCGCCCCCGACCCCACCGGGCCCATCCAGAACGCATTTGCCGGAACGATCAACCCGGCGCCGCCCACTGCCCACACCGGAACAAGACCTTGTGGAGCGGTGGGACTTACCGGAGCAAGGCCCGACGACTGCGACACGGCGTCCTTTCTCACGTCCATGAATTCGGAATTGGAGGGGCGTTTTCGCTTCTTGGTTGCGGAGGTTGGTGAGGAGTTATCCTCGACCGACATGGATGAGGTGGTGGGTATCTTGAGTGTCCCGCCAACGGAGACGGCGATGGCGGGAACGGTCCCGGTGCCTGTGGCTTCAATGATGGCTTGCTCGGCGTGTTCTAGCAGCCAACGGACGGTTTCTCCGTCGGACTTGTGGCCGAGTTCCCGTGTCAGCTGGAAGATCCTGGCAGCGCAGGTAGCGGGTATTCTGATCCGCCGGCCGCGGCCCTCAACTTTCGTATGGCGGTCCTTGGTGGAGGATCGTCGGGTCGGGGCAGAGACGGGTAGCTGTACGGACATGGGCATGGGCATTTGCATCGTGTCCGGGAGCATTCCGATGGGGTGACCCTGCGGCGGTTGTTGTGGGTCGGAGTCAATGGGCTCCTCCTTCAGCGAATGGAGCTCCGTCGTTTCTTCGTAGTTGGGTTGCGTCGAAACGACACCGTCTCCGTTGGTATGGTCGTTGTCTCCCGGGTCTCCGGTGCTGGTGCTGAGATCAGAGGCACCTCCGTCGTCGTCCTGATCCTCCAAATACGACGTCATTCTTGCAAACTGAATCAGAAGAAACGGAAAATATTTGTATCGAAGGAAACTTTGAGAGAGAATTGGAGTGTTTGGTTGCCGAGAAACTGCGAGAAAATGATAAGGGTTTTGATCAGTTTCTTTTTCTCCCGTTCTATATTATCCAATATCCAAACACGCGAAGAAGGAAGAATGGGATCGAACTGTAAAATATAGAAATATAACGGAAAGAGAAGAAATCAAAAGAATGGAGGCCCCCCGCCCCACACGCATCACTGCCCCACTATTTTTGATTTTTTATATCTGCAAATTTCACAAACACGATGCGAGATTTTTCAGTGGGACTAGAAAATGGAATGGTACACTATATATCATTATACTAATAATGTGATGTATATTAAAAAGTTAATAACTTAAAAAAATAAAAAATTTCACAACTTACATAAAAACACGTGCTGTATCTCCGTGTTTCCGTCCCAATAAAAAATTTATCCACTATCATATAGTGTTTATTGTTCATTAATATACTGTCATGGATTTGGATCTCATCAGACTTCTTTTTGTAAGGATTTTAAGATTACTCACATCCTATTTGTCGTTTGTATATCGTTCAGTCGTAAATTATTTTGTATTTTTTTATTTAAAATTAAATACAAACAATACCTAATGAAAAATGACTTTACGATGTATGATGTACAATGAACGGATAGTATGTGAAGATCTCTAGAATCCTCACATAAAGAATCCTAAAAGGATCCTCATCCCATTGTCATATGCAAATTTTTCTCTACATAATAATCTATTATTAGATTAGAACGGTAATAATATATTATTAGATCTGAGCATTACCGTTGTATATAAGTTGTTATTCCAATTGGTAATGCAATTAAGATTAAATTTAGAGACTAAATTTGCAAATTAAATAATGTGTTACGAATATAAATGAGCACATTTATCAACGCTTAAATAACAAACCAATCATAAACTTACAGATAATTTAATTTATAAAATTTAATCAATAAATTTAATTTCCTTGACATTAACCTATTCTAATAAAAGGTGCTCCAGTGGGGCGGCACAAAACGAATTGGATAGGCAGAGGTGGAGCCGTTCGGAAAGGTCTGGAAAATTGCTTTGCTGCATTTGAATGGATTTTTCACCGGTGTTGGTCGGCACTTGGCAATTTGGCATCGCCTATCTACCACTGCTCGCACGATGTGGTCCATCGCCCCTACCAAAATCCTAAAGGCCTTCCCACCTTTTTCAAATTTTCCTTTTTAGCCAAACCCAACGTATTAGCGTGACCATTAATGGTAAAATTTACTTACCAATGTCGGAAAAAAAAGATATTTCTCAATTGTGGTACCATATCAAGTTACGATTAACTAACAACTCACATTACGTGTCAGATGTTGTAACTACTCTCTATCAATGAAGAAGAAAAAAATCCAAATCAGAGTATTTAACAAGACAAAGAGAAATATTATTAAATTAGAAACTGATTGATAAGTGTAACGTCACTCCAATTTAAGTGACTGAGAAGAGCATGTAGATTGGAGGGTATTCTAATTTAGTTCTTTGTTGATTTAGGTGATAGAACAATAGTATGTTTGTTAGACCAATTCTTTGGCGATTACGAGTGGTCAAATGAGATGAAGCCAAAAGAGGGGTTGGATAATGTAGTTTCTGTTACACAAATCTGTTTGAGTGACTATGTTGACTTGCCGGCAAAGGGTCAAGTTTATGAGCTCCCCTCATAACTATAACCACCAAACCTCATTACGACAACTTTCATGTCACCAGTTGTATATCATTTTTAATTTCAATCTCTTTTCACATCTGAATATCTCATACAAAAACAGAAAAAAAAGAAACAGCATACGTTGTTGTAAGTGATTTTCTTTCGATTATTAGTATCTCAAAATTACAAAATCTCTTGAGAAGGGAGATAAACAAAATGTCCAAAATCAAATATCTAGGTAAATTATTATCCAGATTCCAGAGAATATTCTTGGCTGATTCCTATATTACCAACCCCTAATTGGGTTATGGTGGACAATTAGCATCAAAGTGCATTTTATAATTTTTTGGCCCCTAATCATTGACCACAGTGCGACGGCTTTGACTGCCCTCATCATATTAGACAATAGAAAAACTCTTCTATTCATACACCTGTCATGTGATGTATCAGAAACGTACAACGGATGTATGAAACTTGTAGAAAGACGCAGTCGGTGTAACCAAGTTTGTCTCCCTTATAAGCCACACATATGTTGAGCATAGTGAAATAGTACACTTAATTTGCATGTGATCAAATATCTTAGTGGATGGGGTATTAAGTTTCCATCCATGCGTCTCGAGTTCGAAACTTTGTCCTCTCCTCTTAATTGTTGTAATAATTTCGAATTCTCTCCTTCCTCTTAATAATAATAATTTTTTTATTTTTAAAATTAGTACACTTAGGAAATGATATCCGGTAACTCCTTTTCTCCTCCAACATTTGAACCAAATAAACCAAAGGAGAATTTGAACATAAAGCCTCGTTTGATAGCTTGAACTTTACTTACTATTTCAGTTGGATAGGAGAAAAATAATCATCGGATAATACTAACTAAATCAATATGACATTTAATACTGTGTAGGATTAATCTATCCATTGAAAAATACATCAGACTGCAATAATATTGTACAAATTTTCACAAAATAATTGATGTTATATGGAAAAAATGGAGAAAACCAAAGAAAAGAAAGAACAAAAAAAAAAAAAAAAAAAACCTAAACTAAACTAAACTAAACGTCATTACACTGATAAAATTTATGAAAAAAAGGAAAGAAACCCAAGTATCTCTCCCGATCGTGTATTCCTTTCTTCATCATCTTCCCATGCATCAAATCCCACCCTCCCATACGAACTCACTTCCTCATTTCTTCAATCTCCCAAAATCCACATTGATTCACCAACCCAAGCAATACTACTTATTAAATTGAAGATACAAAATGATGAAGAAAAGAAATAAATTTGCAAGAAAAAAGACGAATCAACTAATTGCATAAGAGAGAGAACAGAGAGGCAAACAGAGAGAGAATGGAGGAAGAGGAGTAAGAAGAACGAAGTATAAAACCAGAGATGGAATACATGAGGAGGAAGAAGAACAAAGAACATCAGATGAAGTTCGTGATGAATAGGAAGAGAAAACAGAGAAGGTGCAGATTCGTTTGAGAGCGAAGATAGAATGTGAAGAAAGTTGAGGTTTTCCTATAAAACCAATTGACAATATAGGGAGTAGCCCAACCTCTTATAAGCTCATGTAAAGTCCCTCCTTCCATCAATGTGAGACTTATTCTCAATACGCCCCCTCCCGTGTGGCAAATTTTCAAGTCTAACACGTGAGCAACACAACTTGGGTGACGTGAAGCACGTGTACTAATTTTATAAGCTCATGGGACAACCTGCTTTAATACCATGAAGAAAGTTAAGGTTCCACTACAAAACCAATTAGTAATATGGGGAGTAGCTCAACCTCTTATAAGCTCATGTAATGTCTCTCCTACCAATAATGTGGGACTCATTTTCAAAAATCTCAACAAAACGCATTTAAATTATCCTTTTGAACCCGCTAAACTATCCCCTTAAGCTTTTGAAGGGTATTCTTTAGCAAGTGTGAGCCATACTAAATAAGTGAGCCCGGGATATTTAATTGGCGGCTAATTTAATCCAAAATGAGCCAAACACCTCTCTCGCACTATTATTCCTATCCGTAGTCTGATACGGCATACCAAACTAGGACAAGGAAATATGAGCACAGAGAATGAGAAAAACCAACAGGATCCTCTCCGGATTCTTTTGGTGAAGATTCTGAGGATCCGTAAATCGCATCCGTACATCGTACATCATACGATCAGTTTTTATTAGATACTATTTATATTTAATTTTAATTAAAAATATTTAAAATAATACTTAATATATGATGAACGGATATGATTCACAAATCCTCACAAAGAGGATCTGTCGAGATCCGGGTTCTTTTAAAAAAAAAAGAATGCAGCAATCATTTCGTGTGTACTTTTTCAAGAATGCTTTTGCAAGTACAAGTAGAAAAACAAGCTACGAAACATGGGCTTGTGATCATGGGCTTGTGATCTTCCTTTTCAACAATCGTGGACTATCATTATCATTCAACAATTTTATTAAAAAGAAAAATAAGAAGAAACAAAAACAATTTTTTAACCTGACAATACTTAGCTGCCGATCAAACTATTCGCTTTTAACATACAAACTTACGGAGGCCAGCATGTTCTGTTTGACATCTAGCAACATAAATCTCTACTTAACCGTGTGACCGGCTTGAATTACGTCCATCAGTGACCGTTGGCAACCACACCGTTGGCATTGGAGATGGCGGCCGCATCCTTCTTGGCATAGAATCTACGGTACTTAGAGTCAACTTCGGTAAGATAGTATGTGCCCTGGAAGTAGAAGGCTAATGTCCTGGTTGGTCACAAAGTCTTTGCCTCCATACCTGTGCTCCATGATCTTCATCACTTCAACAAACTTCTCGGGAGGGAACTGCATCAAAAACACACGTTGTTCAATAAATGAATTCCTTACCGAGGTGCTTTTCTAACTTATCAAGCGTGATAACTCAACCGAATTCCCGTTGGACAGCATATGGTTCTAATTTTCAATAGCACTCAATTAAACGTGGTGTTAAATGCATCATCATGCATGACAACGTTCAGGGCAGAGGAAGATGGCTTTCGTGTTGCCAAGGATTTTAACATGGCAGTTTCAAAAACAAAGTAATGAGCAGTATGATTTATTGGAATCACATTGTAATCAAGATTATTACTCAAAGACGCAAGCATTACTTGAGAAAAATAAAGTTTGTTCGCATCTGAATGGTACAACTATGCTTACAGAAAAAGGAGGAAAAAAACTAGTACCTCATGTCTTGCCTCAACTTCTCTCCAACATTCATCACAGCTGCGATGTTCTCCAAGCTAAAGGGCTGTTGACCAGCATTAAGACGCAATGAGAACATGGTTGCAGTTGAGCCACTTCCATAAGAGAACAGTATCACCCGCTTGCCATCCTGTTATCAAACAAAACTTATTAGGCCAAAATGTACAGAGGAGAAGTCGAGCCTTTTGGATAAGAAATTTATGGGATTTACCAAGGAGCTGTGCTTGTTGTGGAGGAGGGATACAAATGCCGCATAAAGAGATGCAGTGTACATGTTTCCAACTTGCTTTGGTACCAAAGTTGTTGGTACAACCTTAGTGTCGTATAGGGGCTTAGCGACTTGCTGGGATGCCTGTAGTTAAATAAATCGTGAACAATGATCAGCAGATATAATTAAAGACTATGCTCACAATCAAAGGAACCGAGAAAGTTGCAAGTATAATAAGAATTTTCAAGGGTTTTAACAGTACCTTTTCAAGATCCCGGCTATTGTAGCTATCATCACCAGGAAGGTCAGCAAATGGAGCCAGCTTTTCTTTACCCGCCTCATCGATGGAGCTACGTATGGAAAGAGAGAAAATAAATCACCACGTAAACATACATTAATAATAAATGTCCGGAGCATTATGATTCTTAGACGGGATTGAGGAAAAACAAGTACCTTGCATTCCTTACGGAGTCATTGAACACCAAACGAGCAAAGCTTTTTTGTACAAGCTGCAACAAATCAAAGCACAATTATTTTAAAAGGAAAACAAAAACATTCAAAATCTTAATTGTAAACCAGAAAGAAAGATCAATTGCAAGATCACAAGTTCTAAGAATATATACCTTGTTATAGGGAGAATGAAATACGAAGTACTCAGCATCAGCGATAGAAAATTGTTTACCTTCCAATTTCTCATACCTATAGAAAGAAAGAAAACAATTAGGCATTTACATAGGAACAAATAATAGCGAAAACAATACAACGAAGTCAAATGACTTCAGTATTTTTACAAGAACTCACTTTTTACATAATTCCTTGTAGCAAGAATCAAGAGCCTTCAGATAACAAGTCTGAGAAAGCTTTCCGTCAACAACCTACAAACATTGCACAGGAATGATAAATTAGGATAAAAAGGCCTAGAAACGTATCACTCAAAGTTAAAAATATAAATAGTCCAAACTCAATTGGGAAACAAAGAAAATAAGAACATGTGATTCCTACTGTCCTAAACACATATATGTCAAAAATGGTAAGAAGAATTACCGGATATTCACTGGCAAGGTCGGGCTTGTAAAAATCATATACGTGGGCCATATGACTTCCCCTAATTTTGCTCTCAAAAGCAACAGGAGCATCAGGTCCAATCAGCATGGCAATGGCAGCTGCTCCACCAGTTGGTCGTGCTGGTCCCTCTGCGTAGACCTGAAATAGAAATTCTCCCATAAGATAAATAGAGTAAAAGTACAGCATAGAGGTAATGTAAATGGAAATCTGTGTTAGACTATTATCAACGTTAACATACGATAAAGTAAACGGTCATACCGCACTGTCAGTGCACACGACAAGCCCATAGCGCCCATCCCATGAGCTACTCTCCACCCAATTGACACAGTTGAATAAAGCTGCAGTTCCTCCATAGCAAGCATTAGTTGAGTCGACACCTTCAATGTCAGTGTTACCGTGCTTCTGGATATTTGATAATGAGAAGAAAGTGTCAGAAAAAATTATCTATCAACATTAGCTCATAAAATAGGATACCAAAGAAACATCTTATTAAACGGGGTAAAGAAAGAGCATATAACAGGGGAAAAAACAATACCTCAAAAATTGTCATCAGAAAGGTCTTAATAGATTTGCTTTTGTCGATCACAGTCTCACTGCCTACTTCCAGGCGACCAATTTGTTTTGGATCAATCCCATATTTCTCAAGAAGGGAGGTAACCACTGTCAAACTGAAAATTCAAAATTCAATGTTAATGACTATAGAGTCTCCACAAGATTATCCGTAAAGTGAAATAATACATATATAACACAAATATTACAAGGTAAAGCCATAAAGATACGGTAAAAACCATAAATAGTTTTAAGACTAACATGCACATCAGAAAAGAAATGTGATCAAGAAGATGAAATTATACTCTGTGACCTGGTCTTTTTTTCCCAACAATTATGATCATGTCCAAACTGGACTAGAAGGTTGCGTTATCAATGCAATTTTTCGTTTTAAATCATCAGATTTCGACTGTTTCAGACAGTTTTCGAATCACGTGGTCTTAAACCTTGTGTTTAATACTAAATGCAATGGCAAGGAGCGGCTTAATACAATGTATTAGGCTACAAAAACATTGAGGATTGAATGTAGAACTAACTAGTACCTCATTGAGATGACATCTTCCACCTCTGAACAAAACGCCATGCAATCTTGTCCAAGTCCGATAGTGTACTTCCCCTTGCTGGCACCATCATGAGCCTCCAAGGCTTCCTATTTTGCATAAAGAACGAAACTTTCATTAGTTGACGGAAATCTAACTAATTTGGTATGGCTAACAGGACATCATGATGCAAATATCAAGATAAAATGCCCGGATTTGTTGCTAGGAGTAATATTGCTTCAAACACCCTACCGCTCTTCGTGTGCGCGATTGCAATTAAGAAAACATTAGATGTTCATTTTATTCTAGAAATTCAATCAAAAACTCCTTTCACTTAAAACTTTTTATATTATTTCCTAAGATTTTTTTTGTAAATTATGATCAGCTAATCTACAAAGTTGTCATCTTTCCAATTGGACCCTTCAAATTTATAGTCACTGCCTGTAAGATCAAAATTCTGAACAAAAAAACAAAGCTCAAATTACATTTAAATCAACATATACTTAAGTTCTAATAAATCGATATATATAATAATAATTTTTAATCCAGTTCCAGATCAAAATGTCTAAGAACATTTCTTCACACGTTAATGCAAAAAATATTCAAGAAAAAAATCAACTACTCAATTAACTGAGTTGCTTTCTGCTTCTTTTTTTTCTTCAATTTTTTTCTCTGATTTAAGAAAATATCGAACAAAAAACTGAAATGATTATTAATTTCCATTTCCTCACTTATTCAAGCAACGAAAATAAAATTACAAAAATAAAAAAAATTACAGGCACGACGAGGAATCGTTGTGAATGTGAAACGAACATTAAAATTTTGAAAGAAAAAAAAAACGAAAGCAGTTTGAGAGTGAGGGATCGTCACCTGCTGAATACAGGTAGGGGGGAAGTAGATGTCGACGGCGAGAATTCCGACGTTCTTGGCCATTTTCTCCGGCGTTCGTCCGAGTCACTCCGATGAATCAAAATCCCTCGTCGAGCTGAGTTTAGAGAGAGAAAGAGGAGAGAGAGAGATGTGTGGAGGTTTGGAGGTGCTGTACAAATGGGAGGCTTCGCTGTATATTTATAGGGGGGAGTGAGTTGCAGAAATGCAGACTTCGTGAGCTTCGTGCAAAAATACGATGCGATGGAGGGCGCCTTCTATCTTTGACCGCCAACTTTTGTCAAATTTACTTCCCTTGCCCCTATTCTCACGGTGACAAACGGCATCATCCATCCCCCGATTCCCCCATTCCCCGGTGGTTTTTTATTTTTAATTAATGTTGTTAGATTTTTATACCCACTTTACATTTATGTATCGGCTCTCGTTTTTCTGTAGTACTAAATGTCGTGATGTTTTAGCCGTTAGATTTTATTTCTGTAACTGTTAAATTTTTTATTTTTAATCTAACACATTCATTTTTCTTATCACTCAAAGGTAGTAATATTAAAAAAAGTTGATATTTATCATAAAGATTTTACAATAATAAGTGGGTCGATAAATAATTATCTACCTCAAATATCACTTGCTACTTAGTACTATGGTCTAATGGTATCTTCTTTACTTGCAAGTGAGAGGTATTCGATTCTCATTAAAGGCGATCGTTTGTTCAAAAAATAAAATATATTGCTTGTAAAAAAAAATCTTATCCTAAATATATTATATCTATTACAAATAATGAGAGTAATATTTTTGGGAAAAAAAAATATGACAGTAAAATATTCCTTTTCTAAGATATTATTTATAGGGATGTTTAAAGCAATTTAGGCTCAAGGCTTCTCAATATAGGAATAGATAAATTACATGTTGGGGAAGCAAGATTCAAACAATTGAGGTTTGATGACCTGGCCTCAACCAAATAGAGGCTACTTAAAGGCAAATTAAATAGGGTAGTTTTACTAACGTCCCACAATCTTATGAATGCATCTCACATTTTAATTTTCTTGCATGAACTTCCTCTTTTACTTACCCCTATTTGAACTAAATTGAGATGGAAAAAAAAAAAAAAAAAAAAAATCCACACCCCCTATTCAACATGTCGGCAGCCAACCATCGTAGAAAATCTGGGCCAAAAAACCAACACCATACCCCCTCTCTCTCTCTGACGAGGTGGGCGAGTTAGGGTGTTGGACGACAGACTTTCACGCCGGAGACGGGTTGAATGGTGTTGACCCACAACTTTTGCAATGGAGGTGATGATGCTAAAGGGTTATCCAGTTGGATGAGTTGAGGTGATGTGTTGTTACCAACGGCATGGGAGTTGCCGGTTGTGCCGATGTCAACGATGGAGGCATTAGGAGATAGGTGGCTGTCTTATTGGGGCTTGTTTGCCGTTAACTTCTTTATGGGGTGGGCGGTCTCTTCAGAAAAAATGAGGGACAAAGTTGGAATTTTCGAGAAACATTTTGGATGCGGGGTGTTTTCATAAAAATGTGGGGTGTCAATAAAACAATGTGACACCCCGTCCCGAAACTATCGAAACGCATAGGTGAAATGACCATTTTACCCCTAGTTTGTTTTGTTATGTTGTTTGGTTGTTTGTGTGGTGTTGGCAAGTGTTGGGCCACACACACACACACTGTCTCACTCTCCCTCTCCCTTTGTCATTTTCTCTGTCTCTCTCTCTCTCTCCCGAGTTCCCTTTCTTCTTCTTCTTCCTTTGAACTGGTATGGACACACACACAACTACACCATTTCACCACAGATCGAAGAATCTAAGCTCACAGTCGTGATCGTGAGGTCGAGGGGATCACGATCATATCATTTTCAGGTGAGAAACCAGTCGTTTTCACGTTGATTTCACGAACTCCGATTTGAGCACTATTCATGCAAACTTATTTTAGCATGTTTTTGGACTTTTGAAGCACATAGATGTCTTAGTGAGGTTCCCAGGAACCTCGGAGTGCTTCGTTGGACGATTTTGGACCTCGGGATTGCCCTGTTCAAACTTGGCCAGTTTTGGAGGTTAGTGACAAGTATGATTTAGAAGTTTTTAGGCCTTAAAACTTGTTTGGACGTGTTCTACTCGTTCTAAGGTTTAATTTGGTGCAAGAAACGTGAAAAATGGTGGAAAAATGAGCGAGAAAACCCAAGTTGCAGGTTTTCCGACGACGGCGCCGGAGTCTCGCCGGAGAAGGTGACGGAATATTCCGTCAGGATTCTGACGGAATATTCCTGACGCCGTTAACGGAATCTGTCAGTTTTGACGGAATATTCCTAACGGCGTCAGTTGACGCCGTCCGTGTGCGCCACACGTGCCTGCGCGTGGCCGGCGCGTGTGGCCGTGCCTTGGCCGGCGCGTGGCGGCGCGTGCGGCGGTGGAAAATTTTTCTAAAAATATGGTTGTGATCCTGAGGTTGTGTAAAGCACGTTGGTATATTCAATTGTCCATTTTGAGCAATGTATGAGAAGTTATTTTGAACGAAAGGTTATGTGCTTTAAAATTAACGTTTTTATAGTATTTTCGCATATAGGTGACACGTATCCCGAGGACGAGCGTGCTCACGCGAGGCAGGGGGGCTACGACCCTTCCACATACCAGTGAGTGGGCTTTTGGTTTTCCGTATATACCTATATACATATAATTCCCAGAAATTTATATAAATGCTTATTCGTTATATGCCATTCTTTTTATATTATAGACGGTTATGCATGATTAGTTGTATATGCGTTATTTATATATTCAATTATATGTACATGTATATATGATGGTGCTGTGGAGGCACAGGTAAGTGCCAGGTAAGCGTTAGTTAACGATTGCATTAATTAGTGGTTAGAGATGATTAGAGAGCTCATAACCTGCACCCCCGGTGTTAGTGCTCCCGCCCAGAGTAGGGCACAGTCCTTCACGTGTTGTTCACCTCCCGTACCACACGCTCAGCTTGGATCCAAGTTAGGTGCACAGTCCTGTCGTACAGACCATTATAGGTGGTTCCGACTCGTAGATGACCCGCGATTATTCGCACAGCCTTCACGTGATCGTAGCACTAGAGCGTTTATATGTATTACACCCAGGCCTGTCGTACAGACCACTTTAGGTGGTTCCGACTCGTGGGCAGGTTCAGTTATTGAATTTGAGATTTGAGCTCTAGATTCAGCCGTACAGGTCACTTAGGGGACTCCGGCTACCAGATTATATGCTATTGACGTGATTGATACCTGAGCACCTGCATTTCATTATGAGGCTTTGACATGGCATATTCTTGAGCATGATTGGCATATTTATACATACGTATATATGTTTATTTTCTGGGAAGTATACAGGTTTTACGGCAAGGGGTTAGAATGTGTTTTACTAAATGGTTTTCAAAGAGCTTTGTTTTTGCCCACTCACGCTTTTGTTTTGCGCCCCTCCAGGTTCTAGTAGCTTAACAGGTTCGGTGGTTTTCCCAGAGGACGTCCCGGCATTTCTGACAGACACTCACCGATGTAGGGTCACCTTCGAGTGCACTATTGTTGTATCTTTTCCTTTGGACTGCTGTAGGCTTTATGCTCTGAATTCAGCGTCTTACTTACGCTAGCACTTATCTTATCACATTATGCATGCTAGTTTTTAAATTATTCGTACTTTTATATTACTTCCTTTAGCTTCCGCACTGTGCACATGGCTACGTCACTTCCACGTGACGGCCAGCATGCCCTGATCTCGGTTGGGGTGTGTCAAACAACCCATTAAATATCAATATGTGACTTAGTCTTATGTGATTAGACCTTTTTTTTTTTTTTTTTTTTTGTCGAAAGCAAACAATTTCATTGAAAGGCAGTGGCACAAAATCAAGTACAACAAATAAGTGCATACAATTGGAGAAAGCCAAAGCCCAAAAAACAAAAGGACAGAATAGCAAAAAAAAAAAAAAAAAAACCATAAATCCTATCCTGCACAGGCAGGAATCCGCCGCAATCGTCGACACAAACACCTTGCCATTGACCACAAGGGTGGCCACCCAAAGAAAACCAACTCCGCGTTAAACTCGACAAATGTATCACATCAAAAATTTCCAACCCACAACAAATAGAACTGCCCAACCAAATTTCGCCACCAAAATGCCACACCGAAGAAGAAACACCAAATCTGAACCCCCAACACAAGCCCCAACAAGGAGAATCAAAAAACAAAACAAATAGGAAGGGAGTGGGGCTAAAAGGGCATCTAAAACACCCTCGCTTTGGGCAAAGCCATAGCACGCTTGGCCTCGTTTTTCCGGCATGCCGGTCGGGGGCTGAACTGTGAAGGGAGATTTAGATTTGATGACCAAAAGAGGTGAGCCGCTCCTAGTTTTGAGCAAAGGTTGTGGAAGGAAAGGCATGTAAGGGGGGGAAATGAAAAAGATGGAAAAGTATGAGTGTTTGGCATTTAAAAAAAAAGGCTGCAGGACAGGGATTAGGAGAAGAAGCCAAGATGGTGAAGAATGCCGTGAAATAGCAATGAACATTAGGAAGCAACGAAGGACATGGGGAAAACATGCCATGACCTTTGAAATCGACGGCCAGAGACACTGGAAGAAAAGGCCAGGGGCATCACTTCTCTAAACAAGACGACAAATGAGAGAAAAGCAATAACAGTGGGTTGTCGTCGACCCCAGTCAAAGGCAGGAGTCAGCTATGGGAGAAGGAACTCGATTTAAGTATGTGATTAGACATCTCCTTTGGAGATGGTCTAAAAAGGCTAATTGCAGCTATGTTGTGTTCAAACTGAAAAACTTGCAAACTTGCAATGAATAAATAGTTTCATTAGTATTAGATCATCTCAAGATGTCATATTTTAAACATAAAATTTAAACTTGATAGCCTATGTGGCACTTTTACATTTTTTGAAAGTTTCGTTCTCCATCTGATATGTCAAATTAAACTATTATTTTATTACATAATTGAAGCACAAAGTACTATAGTATGTTCACAATGCAACAGTCACACAATCAACAATGAATTATAAGAAATGTTTAAGTCAATAAATAGTTAATAAAAAATAAATAAATGAAGCTGCTATCAAATTTAAGATCAACTCCTCTACTGCCATTCCATGTCATGTCACATAAGAATTGGAATTTTGTTTGGAAAACAGTAATGCTGTCTTCTTTTACTATTATTGATAATGTGGACTTTTTGACAAATTCTTTGGAGATG